TTTGGTGTTTCTCGTCGATATGTTTAGTGCCTGAATGGTGCCCGCAAACTATGCCAACCGACTAAATGCGATTGGTTTTCGGCCACGGGCCACATGCCGCCGCCCTCGCCCAAATGGAATTCAATGCAAATTGATAATGAAATATGCGATGGAAATGCATTAGAACGCACCCGGGGGCAGCATTCTTATTGCGGAGATTCTAACACTGCGTGCTCCAACAAAATGGTTCGGCCCCGAATTGGCCATTTAGAGCAATGCGGCAAATAAACGAAATGTGGTTAACGCAATGACAGTGCGATTAGCCGGGCCATTGTGGGCGAGTCTGCTGGCGATGTGCATGGGGCGGCGGGTTCTCTGGTGGTTTTTGGGGTTCACTTCGGCTGTGGCGGGTCAGTATTTGCTGCTGGTGCGGTTGCTCAAATCATAATCCACACACAGTGTGGCTGTCCAGGAGTCAAGTGTGCTGTGCCAGCCACAATTGGCCAACGTGCAGTTGGCAAAAACGAAGCAGTGCTTAAACTGCCATGCAAACATAATTGTATGAAATATTCACGTGTAATAAGCGAGCTTAAAGTTCAGACAAAAGGAATCGAAAGTAGGGGAGTGACATCCTGCGACAGATGTCGTATGGCTCTGCCTTTCACAGAGCCCTAAATAAAACATTCGGTTGGTATTTAAATGCCATATTATCCTTCGGATGAAATCCAATCGCCCAAATCGGGCAATCAAACACGTACTTGTCTAAAGAGAGCTTTTCATCAGTGCAATCAGCATTCAGCTTCAAATTACCCGAATGAATAGGCAGACTTATGATTTATTCATCTCAGTCGATATTATTTTATTCGCCGGAGATGACAGGACACTTCCGCAATAAATCTCAATTGGGGAGTAAGTGAGAAATACTCGCCAATAAATAACAATAATTATGCAGGGAGATGTTTGAAATGAAAAGAAAATTTGTCTGTCGGGTCCTTTGAACAGGAAGTTCGCCCTTGGTTGCGTTTGTCTCTCCATTCTCCCCTCAATGATCCATAATTGCTATTAATTGTGCTCCGGATTTGCATAGCAAATAAATCTTGGAGGCGGCTCCCGGGCGGGCAGGAGGACTAGCAAATGCAAAACATAAATTCAGCAATTGCTTGACACTCGAGCGGCGTTCGAAAGTTGCTGCCGTTGTGTTCTCTAATTTATTTAGCATTGTGTAAACTTGTTCAAGGTTGAATGGGCTGCTGGCCGAATGGAAATTAAAGGACAACAAGGAGGCCGGAGGAGCAGCCTCAAAGAAAAACATTTGAATTACGTCGAAGACAATTCTGGATGCCAAAAGGCGGCCAAAGTTTGGCTCGATTGTTGTGGGCCGAGCTGGAAATCGAATTGTGCCAAATTGCCTGGCCCGGCACAGCCTCCCTCCATTCTGTATGTGTTTGTGTCCAGCGTCCAGCCGTCCACCCGTCGCTTTGTCTATCTGGGCAGCCCTCTCTGTCTGCGTGTGCGGCCCTCTCTGTGTCTGTGGTCCAAATGAATAATTTGGCATCGCAGATAAACGAAATCAATGTCCACGGACCCAGCCCGAACCCGAAACCCAAAACCAAATGGCAACATCTGCCCGTTGCGTTGGGTGGCAGAATGCCGGGCAGTGGGCTCCGAAATGGCTCGCAGCTCTCGGCCACTCTGGGGAACTTGTTATTGAATTAAAGTGACTTGATTTACGGCGCGTTCTGGTCAAAAGCTCTTAATGGCATTTGCCACGAGTCCGCCAGCCCTCTAACTCCCTAACCCTTACCCTAAACCACTCTGTGCCCTGGAACGCAGGGTCATCCGTTCCCCGAAAATGAAGTTTGTGCTCAGTGATGTAACGAGCGGCAACGGTGCGTATGCGCGACGCAAGTATGTGCTGCTGGGGCGGTAGATCTGTGAGAACTGCGGAAGACTAACTGTTGAGTTTGTGGCACAAAGTAATATTTAAGACTGGCAGCGCCATTTGCATGCCGTGCCTCAGGCGCTCTGCTATTGTTTACCTGCGACTTGACGGCCTGTTGTGATTGCTGATAACATTGTTATGATTGTCTGCGGCGGTGCCCCTGTTGCACTGCAACCCCGCGATACAAAACTGAATTAAACCGAGCCAAAGCCACCTAAACGACAGCAGATAGAGCCAATAATTTATGCGTGCATGTTGCAAGTCCGCACCCGGCACCTCCCCCTGACAAGGTTTATCTTGTAGTTGGCATTGTTGCCACGCCTCCTAAGCCGCCAAGTACGCCCAGCACTCCCTCAAAAGGCACTCGCACTCGCCCGCACTCCGACCAGGCTGCACATAATTTAATTAAAATGAAATCTCGCACGGGCGCTGAACTGCAAACTGTGAATGCAAATTATTATTAATTACAGCAAGCGACGACAAATGTTTATGGCTGCCATATGTGTGCCACTCTCCGGCTCTATCCTTGTCTCTGTCCCCCGAGTCGCACTGTCTCCCTCGCTGCTCGCATGCATGGGGAGACATGGCGTCGCCATCTGCTGACAGTTTGCGGCAAAAACAGCTCCGGTTAAGTGCGCGGGTGTTTATTTGCGGCAAACGAAATTAAGAGAAATCTAAACACATTCCCTCGTCGTTTATCTTGCTGCTAGATGCACTGCGCTCCCCTCAGGCTGGATGCGAAACTCCACTTTGTTCTGTTTCCCCCCCTGAAGGGGGTCTCCTTGCCAGGTTTCTTCTACCATATTACTAATTTTATCAGGTCTCCCGAATATAGGCGAACCTTTATACAGCTATTTTTTTTATTTTAATAAATGCCGTAAATCTTCTCTTGAAGTGAAAATTCATTTGTTTCTTTTTCTTTATTTTTATTATCTTCTTATCTTAAATTATTAAAAATAGGCCAGTTTTTGGGCGGTTAAACTCATTTAACCCCTACCAACTGTTAGGAACTTTAACAAAAAACAAAAGCAGATTGATAGAGAGGTGTTCTGGTAGGGGTTCTGGTAGGGGTATTCCTCCTTTAAATCGGGGCTTTGTTGGTAGAAATTTGGCCTTCTTTGGAGGTCTTTCTCTTATCTTTCTTTACATTTTTGAAGCGAGATCTCGAGAAATATTGACGAGAAATTCAAACACTCAAAATTAGAGCGTGTTAAAAATTAAATTAATCTTAATTATTTTCAAATTCAAATTTTGTTTAAAAGTATTTGTTTGGTCATTGAGCGTTTTCAATGCCTTAAATAAAAGACGATTTTGTATTTAAATTGAACGTTATAAATGTTTATTTCTGCATGCAGATCAAGCCGGATGATTCGCAGATAGACCAGCTATGGTGCATGCAGGGACTCAAGTAAAATACAGAGAGAGGGCGGCCCGACAAGTCACCTCGAGCTAAAGCTCTCGAAAGTGGAGAGGGCGGCCCGACCTAGACATTGCCGAGCTAAAACTTTCTATGGAAAGCTTGTTGAGTCGAGCGGCCGAGAAAGAGTCGGCTTGCGATCAACAAAGCCTTTGTACAAACTTAAGCCTAATAAATAAACATTACACTAATAATTACACTAAACATTATTTAAACATAAACATTAAACGCCGTGCTGCTGCTTGACCCGACAGTATCATAAGTGTCATGTGGTTGTGTTATGTTAACAAAATAAATAGTCTTACTCCATTGAGCTTCATTTTTATACCCTTGCAGAGGGTATTATAATTTTGGTCAAAAGTGTGCAACGCAGTGAAGGAGACATCTCAGACCCTATAAAGTATATATATTCTTGATCAGGATCACCTCCTGAGTTGATATGAGCATGTCCGTCTGTCCGTCTGTCCGTCTGTCCGTCTGTCTGTCCGTCTGTCTGTCCGTCTGTCTGTTTCTACGCAAACTAGTCTCTCAGTTTTAAAGCTATCGTCTTGAAACTTTGCACACACCCTTCTTTCCTTTGCACGCAGTATATAAGTCGGAACGGCCCGGATCGGCCGACTATATCCTATAGCTTCCATATAACTGATTGATCGGAAATGGTATAACTTTGGTGTTTTTAAAGTTAGAGAGTTCAAATTTGACATGAGAGCTATTTTTGACAAAATATTACGACATGCCAAATTTCGTAAGGATCGGCAGACTATATCCTATAGCTGCCATATAACTGAACGATCGGAAATGACACAACTTTCGTGTTTTTGAAGATAGAAAGCTGGAACTTGGTACAGATTATATATTTGGTCAGTTGATCCGACCTTCCAAATTTCATTAGGATCGGCCGACTATATCCTATAGCTGCCATATAACTGAACGATCGGAAATGGTATTTGGTAGAAATATCAACTTTCGTATTTTTGAAGATAGAAGTTTGGGACTTTTTTAGATTTTGTATTGTAATAAATTGGATTATATATTCCTTTTCCCATAAGGATTGGCCAACTATATCCGATGTTTGCGATAAATATCCGGTTTTAACTGCAAGGGTATATAAACTTCGGCTCCGCCCGAAGTTAGCTTTGCTTTCTTGTTAAACTGGTTTTATTCCAAACAAATATCTTACAAGAAACTTACAATAAAATCTTTAATTTAAGATGCTAAAACATGGCCTGCTATGGGATGGCCTGCACTAGGGGATGGCCTTTTAAGTGCGTCAAGTTAGGCTTCAAAGGATCAAACATTAAATGTATAATTTATTTTTCTGGGAGAGAAAGTTCTGGAAAGAACGTTCGTTTTGTTTAAATCAGAATTCACATAAAATAACAAAGAAAAGAAAATAATTATTTTTTAAAAATGTTTCCCATAATAATAATTGTAAAGGCTTGAAGATTAAGACTTATTTTTTCAAAAGCGCAGAGAAAAGGTCGTTTCCGATTGTTCAGCTATATATCGGCTATAGGATAAATAATTAATTCAAAATAGAATAAAACACCCCAATGTTGTGGTTCAACTGATCGTTGTTATATGGCAGATATATGAATTAGTCGTCCATCCCTGCCGTCCCGACTTATACCCGCCTTCAAAGGAAAGTAGGATGAAGTGAACTGCGGTTTATGGTCTATTTCTATCTATTTGAAACAGTAGCAATAAATTTCAACAGGCGTTTCCGCGACGCAAAAGGACTGCTTCTTGTATTTGTCAGTTCGCGTGATTGGTCCTTGAAGGGAGCTGTAGTTGGCAACGAGAACGGTGGCATCGAACTTCCCGTTTCCGGGAACGGTCTCCAGCCGGACAGTGATCGTTTGGTTCTGGTCCCGCAGGTAGGCCTTGTCCACCTTAGACAGCTTCAGCTTGTGGCACTGCGGGTACGGTCGCAACAGTTCGTTGATGTTCTCCACGGCGATCTCGGCCACGCGGCGCACACTGCTTGAGTTCCACGGAATCTGTGTCAGCTCCTTGCACTGGCAGTAGTGGTCCGGGATGTGGGCGGACTCGCAGCTCCGCTTCTCGGGAATGGGCAGGAAGAGCGAGACGTTGCGATCATCGCGCAGAGCGCGCGTTCGGTTGCGAATCCGCTCGTCACTCAGGTTCTCCAGGTTGACCACGTCCCTGAGGGTCTCGTGCAGGTCGAAAGTGGTCACCAGGCGGCGGGAATTGGCCTGCAGATTAGCCACCGCCAGGGGGAAACGGCTCTCCAGCCAGCTGGGATAGACGGCCACCATGGTGGGCATCGATATCTCCCGCATTCCCTGCAGGGTCTTCGCGAAGGCGCCATACCTCAGTCCATGGTCGGACAGCAGCAGGACGAGGGTGTGGTCGAGGACCCCGTAACGGTGCAGGACGCGCAGAATGGCGTCGTATTGGATGTCGGTCTGCAGGGCGTACGGAAAGTAGTCATGAACGCCCTGGGTTTGCCAGAAGAAGGCAAAGAACCCGGTGTCCAGGCAGCGTTGCTTGAAGTGCATCATCAACTGGTATATGAAGTCGTAAAAGACGTGGTGGTAGACCCGGCTGCCGCTGCACGAGATGTCTTCCGGCCCCCTGGCCCAGTACCTAGTGTGCTGGTGGATCTCGACCATAACACTGCGGAAGTAGTAGTCGGTGGGCTGACGGCGGAAGCCGCGCTTCGTGTACGTGAAGGTGCCGCCAATGCGTGTATCCTCGCCGAAAGCTGTGACGAAACCGGCCCTCTTGAACTCGTTCCACAGCAGGTTGCACTGATCGTAGTGGGCCTTCTTCACCCTCCCATAGCAGCCAGTCTCGGACTCCAGCTCGTCCACGTCCTGGCCACTCAGAAGGGGTACCAGGTTAGGGTAGGAGTTGCGTCCGACGCGGTTGTAGCCCCAGAGCTCCACGTGAGGCAGCTGGTCCACAAAGTCGATGACATTGCTGGGGAGTGCGATAGGCAACGAAAGTTCAGCCATTTATTCGAGGACCTCACCTGAAGTACCGCTTGTAGTGCATGTGGGAGATCGAGTCAATGCCCAGGATCATAACCGACAAGCGATCGGCCGACTTGCGGGGCTCCTTCTTGGGCACCTCAGCTTTCCTTACCGGCGGGAGGAAGATGTACACGTCGTGGAAGATCAGTCGGCTGAAGTCTACCCAGCACATGGTCCGCAGGGTGACGTTGCCCGCCTCGACCTCTGCGCTCCTCCGTCCGCGGCTGAAGCCGAAGACGCCTATTCGCACGTTCCGATTCCTGAAGTCATCGATGCGCTCGAAGACAATGTAGACGCAGATGAGCTTGCGCAGCCTCCGGATCCCTAGTTTTTGCCAAAGTTGCGTGCTGTTGAGCGCCAAGGTCAGGTAGTTGCGCCCCTTGACGCTCGTGGGCGTCAGGACCTGGAGCTTGTAGCACCAGTAGATGGGCATGGGCACCATGAAGTGGCGTGCGACGGGCGACATGTAGTCCATGGCTTCGATCCGGCAGTTGGAGGTGTTGACAAACAAGCCCACTCCACCTTCCTTGTCCATGGGGACTGGTTCGGAGGGTAGTCCCAAGCCTACATGCGGCCCCGGATTCGAATAAGTCACGACCAGCAGGACAACGACGAATATAAACATTAAGAGGTTGAAAATCCTCGGGGCTTCATTCTTGTAGAACTTTCTCAACGCATCTAGGGTAAGAACGTACATTTCCAGGAAAATATCGTTCGAGTTTCAAACAGAAACCAGATATTTTTAAGAACTATTTGAAGTATTTTATCTCCCAGGCACCTAGATGTTTGTTTGTTTCTAGATGTCTAGTTGTCAAGTAGTGTATTATTTCTAAACAACTGTTCGCCCACTATGATCGGAGGAAATGATAGTTCCTAGAATTCCTATGGAAGGTCTGACTAACGTGATTACTTGTTGTGCTGCTGGGTGCACTGATACTGTAGCCTATTGCCAAGATTCGGAGATGTTGTAGCTAGGTTACGTATGTGCTGGGTTTTGTGCACCTAGGGTAGGTTTCCTGGAAGTTAAGTACCGCGGTTGTACTACTGAGTTTGTAACATTGTTTTGTTGTTTTTCGCGAGACTAGCTTCCCAGTCGGAACTGGGTCTATATGACAATAAAAGGCATTTAAGGGTATAAGACATATAAGGTTATCCAAGATGGACTCAAGAGAGAGACTAACTTTATTCTTAACATTCTCTTGTAGCTGGGAAGCGTACATAGGAGTGGGTGCCTTTGGTTACAACCATAATGAAGTACATATGAGTCAAAGTCAGGGGTGCAAAGAGCTTGGCTAGCTTTAAGTTGCCCAATGGTGTTCTTCGGGGTTCAGCTTGCCATCTCCTGCCCGCGGGATGCAATCGGTTGGTTCTGGTTGCACATTGATGTCATCTATGGTAACTGCTAACAGCCCTCTAGTAGTGTCCATTGATGAATGGTATGCCTGTACAAAGGACAGAGAAGGTGTGAAAAATGTGTACTTTTAGCCAAAATCCCCAGTTCTGACCCTTCCTTGGCCTTAAATATAATTTCTGTTGATTTATTTTGTTGCCCCTTCTCTGCAGTTTGTCCATTAGCATAGTTTACAATTTCAGTTCCTTTTGCCGTTTTCTGCAGCTAAGATTTGTTTGCTTTCACCAGAAAGGGCAGAAAGGAAAACAAGCTGGAAAAAGTTCAAATAATGAAACCTTCGGGAAGCGTTCAGTGATTGAGTTTAAAGCCGGGCATTTTAATTAGGTCACTTGATTGAATTCGCCACTTTCGGTTGGTTTTTTCGTCCGACTTTCATCAATTCGTATGGCATGGGATTACAAGGCTGGCTTCATCGACTCGGAAAACCCTTCCTACAATAATATTCGCAAAATAATACGAAAGATGGTATGCCCGGAATGTCTTGAATATTTCAGAAGCGGCTTACATCATCCCGGCCGAAGCGGACCAGCTACAGTAACCGGATCTATTTCACAGCCGGAGACAAAGTGGGAATTGTGTTCCTCATTCAGGTCTCACTCCCACTCCCCGCTCCCCGCCTGGATCCTTTGTTCCTTTTTCACTGTGGAATGCCTTCCGAGTGCGATTCTCGCGCAGTTGTTTTCTTTAATTTTCCGCATACGAAGGCAGCAAAGCGGCGACTTCCTGCCTTCCCCTGATCCTTTACCGCTTCGCCACCACACCTGGCCCGCCCTCCTCGGTCAGGTCTCGTTTGCAGCATCCTGTATCCTGTGTAAAACATATGCATACATTTTATACCATTACGGCGAAACAATATTGCATTTGCAGAACCATTTCTCCTGCCAGACCCTCCCCCGCTTGCCGGAGCCAGTGTCTGTCCCGCTCCTTGTTCCGCCCGCCAACTGACTTGCGTTATGTGAATCCGGCGCGAATCCCGTGAATCCGTCGCGCTCCCGCCGCCCTCCTCGCGAGTTACGGTTTGGCTGCAGATACCCTGCTGGTACTGGTGCTCCGGCCATGCTGGAGTCTGAATAAAGAAGCAATAATTGGAGGAAAGTATGCGACTTGCTTTTGGAAATATGTGCACTTTAGGAGCGTAATGTGGGGTATATCAATGACTACCTCCCTAATCCCTCCACAATACAGGATATCAACCGCTTCTACTTGTGTTCCTCCCGGTTGTAGTTCCATTTCGCTGAAACTCAGTTTCAGCTTTGAGTTTTGGCTACAGGTCTTGGCGGGGCCAGCCCACGCCACCACCGCCAGCTGCGGTGGAGCTCCTCGGGCTGAACCTCCGCCCGCCGCCGCCTGCTCCAATTACTGTTTGCATAGTTGAGTGTCGTCTACGGAAATTTGTTTATTTTACGCGCATTGCGTTTTGCTTCGCTCCGCTCCGGTTCGGTTTGGTTGGATACCCATCCGCGCCAGGATCCTTCGCCACTCCTTCTACGGGAAGGCGAGGAGCAGCAGCACAATGAGACATGACGACGACACATCCGGCGACCGAATCGCTAAGACAAACTGACAGCTAAATGCGTTAGAGTCGTTGCAGATTTCATTTGGCGTGAATTTTTCTCCCTCTTCCCGCGTTTTTGGTGTTTTTCCATGTTGGGTTTTGTTGGTTTTCTGTCCGATGTGTTTTGCATTTTTGTAGGTTTCGCTGGCATTTTCCTCGACAGCCAAACCTTGTGCATCGGGCAGGTTTATGGCTTCCCCTTCCGTTACAGTTGCAGCTTCGCCAGACCCGCCTTCCGCCCCCACGCCGTCGACAAAATAAAAAACAAGCCCATCCGAAGGTAAGAATGTCAGACGCAGCCGTGACAACCGATATAAGGCAACACGACGGCACAAAAAACGAGCCTGGGAACGGTCAGGAGGACATTAAGGTGGAAGCCGGGGCCACCACTGCGTATGTGCAATAAGTTGCTCATGAAACGACGTATTCCTAGTATTGCCTGTACGTCCAGAGAACATGAAATGAAAGCGTCGTTTAGGTTGTCGGTTGGAGCCAGAAATGTTTGTGGTGTGATGCCTTTTTTCCAAACACATGTAGCTAAAGCTGCCTTTAAATCTGATGAAAATAAAACAGGTTCCTCAAAAAGAAACGTAATTGGGATTTGAATCAGATTAGGCTTTAAATAATTGTTATTCTCAAAGGAATATAACCTTTGTTGTAAAGTAAATGGATTAGATATTTTTAATAATCCAATGCTTGTACTCTGACGGACAACTGTGTACTCTGTATACATGGTTCGTTCACATATCGATTAATTTTTACTGACATAAAGTAGAAATAGTAAACATACAAACACTTTGATTCAATTCTATGAAACATCGTCGATTAAACATAAAAAAACCTGAAAGTACAAAATCTATAGCTTAAAAACAACCAACATTTTGTTGTTGGGTTGGTTTACTGGTAATATTATGCTAAAACATCCTATTTCAAACATCCCTATTTTATACCAATTTGGATATTAATTGGGACAAGTCCTTAACGAAATCCCGTCTCAGGTTTTTCTGCCAGTCTCCACAATTCAGCATTTTGAATTTTTTAAAGCTCCCTACACGTTTTGGATGAGCTGAAGTCTACACCCTAGAGCAGTGGTCGACAGGGCCCTACTTCAGGGTCATAGGAAATTTCTCTGCCCATTAATATTGTGTTCTCTTTCAATATAAATGTGTGAAACGTCATGCTCACAGATTAAAATCATATCAATTTATTGAATGCCGACCACTGCTTTAGATGTTGACTTGGACAGCTCATATGTCTGCCTTATTCTCTGTAAGTCAGGGCTTTCCCAGCTTTTAGTTTAAAAACTCACCAAAACACATGTTTCTCAGAATTTTGTAGCAGGATGTAAAATAATATATTATTATACCCAGTTCGGGTCATACTATGGTGTTATGTGAGTTAGGATAAAATATTGTTTCTTCAATTTTTAAGGCCTACCATCCGTCAAAAGACAATTTAACTCGAATATGAAAATCTCATACAAATCGCAGTCACGTCCCATGATAGGGCTTAAGTCTGTGCCAACAAATCCAAGCTATAATCCCCAAATTGATTCAATTGCCCTCCTCGTCCTGCGTTCTGCCGAGGAACAAGGCTTCAATCACTTGACATGTTCGGCAGTCAATTTGTGGAATGCTGTTACTGCAGCTCCTCGTCCTGATACTGCTACTTTCCTAGCTGCTACTCTTGTCCCTGAACTCGATTCCCTGACCCCTTCCATGGCAACAGTGACATGCTGGAAGTGCTTCTGCCGGCTGAGTGACCAACCAGAAGAGTCCAGTCTAGTGTGCGGCAGCTCCATCCGTTGGCCTGTGGCCAGGTATGCCGCCCTGCCAGAGCCCAGGCGCATCCCTGGACGTTGCAGCTACTATTGAGGTTACCACTCGTCCTCCTCTGGCTGCCTGCCATTGTCCTAACCCCCAACTAGGCGATGACAGGAGCCGCCTTGAAACCTTTGGCTAACTGTGTCCGGAGATGAGGGTGGGGGTGGGGTGCTCGGCATGTCTTGAACAGCCAACAAGCTGATCAACTGCCCACATGAGGACTCCAAGCACACACATATACCCATCCGCAAACCCCCAAGGGAAAAGGTTAATTCGAACATCGAGTTTTGAATAAAATAACGTAGTTAGTAAAAATTGGATATCGAATATCTAAACCAGACTTGTTCATTTTTAATTCAGCATCCCTTAAAGTAAAAATGTTGAACTAAACTTTTGAACTAAAAACTTGAACTAAATGTTAGTAGAGCCTTTGAGATGCAATACCCCAGCATTTTCCCTTGGGTGTCTCTGACTCGCTTTTCTGTTTGCCGGGCTACGGAATTACTTGGGTTGGCCAAAGTTGGGTCTGGAGAGGGATTACACCGACCGGCTTCTGCCAATAACTCAACTAATTGTCGCTGCAAGGGGTCCGCCCCATCCTGGGCAGAAAAATGAGCTACGAATTGTTAATTTCGGGCTGCAGCTGAGCAGGGAAATCGTTCGCAGCCGAGTGGCAGCGTTATTAAAGCCTTGTCAGCAGCAGGAACAGGCGACGCACGTGGCGCAAATTGTGGCATAAAACGGCAGCAAGACACCTGCTGGCTGCTCTGCATATTAATAAGTTACCCGGGCGTCGTTTCCCGGCCAACATAATGTACACTTCCTCCTGCGCCAGCTCCGACCAGGTTAGTGGCTGGGCTGTGGCCCAGTTGGCTGTAGTTGGGCATTCATTAGGCTCGTAGGACGCTTGTCGTTGGTGGCCGCCATTGCGTATACGCAGTGGTGTCGCTGTCGCCTGGTGGCGCTTTAAACTGCGCTCACGTGCTTAAAGACTTAACAAATTTGTCAATAAATGAAGTAT